TTTTGAATTTTCTTGGGTTCCCGATGTTGGCAGTGCCACCGCTTGTCAGTGTCTAACACTGATAGTGTACTGGCGGTGCTACCGCCTAACCCGGCGGTGCCACCGCCCGACCTCTCGGGTGTTGGGCGGTGCTACCGCCCAATCTAGCGGTACCACCACCCGATCCTCGGGTTCTGGGCGGTGCCATCGCCCAGTCCGGCGGTTCCACCGCTCGACCTTTACCGGTCATTGGTTGGACTTCAAATCCGACCCAAACCAAGTTATATTCGGGCCTAGTTGGCCCCTAACCAGGATATAGGATTATCCCTTAATCCTAACCCTAATTACATGCAAACTACGCAACTGAAAATATAGTCCTAAGCAAGCTTTCAACCGGTAAATGTCAAGTCTCCTTCCGGCGAGTTTTCCGGCGATCTTCCGGCGGACTTCCGATACACCTTCGGATTTCTTCTAGCGGACTCCCAGCAGGCTCCCGATCTTGTGGCGAGTTTTGCGAGTAGCCGAGCCTTCTTGGTGAACTCCGCGAACCTCCGACGATCTCTTTGGCGGACTTTCGAAAATTTCGACAAGTCCTCGATTTCTTCACAGTTAGTTCCGATAGTATCTCCGACGAATCTTCGGACTCTCAAACACCCATCGAACTTGACTTCGGTATCCTTGCTTTATGTTTTCAGGCTATTGTAGTTAATCCTACATACTTAACTCAATAATATGGATTAGATCAATTAACCCATCAATTGATTTTATCATCAAATTCCGAGATTCAACACACATGAGGGCGTCCGATGTGCCGTATAGAGCCATCTGGGCTTGAAAGGTGGCGACATGTTACGTTGGGTCAGAGCTACCATCATAAGCTTTAAGAATAGGGAGGCAGAAGCTCGAAGGGACTGGCTTGTCCTAAATCTTAAGTGTGAAAGGCGATCCTCCTGAAGAGGCATCGCCAAGCTCTTCTTTGAACTTGTGGAACTCTCGCTGAACCTCATCCAAACGTTGATTTACTGAGCGCAGTTGTGACCGGAGAGAATTTGCCAAGTCAGATGACAGTGTGTCGGGCTCGGGACTATCAGAGCGGGGGTGTCGGAGGCTTCGCATGCTGCGCACAAGCATTGGCTTCGGGTTCAACCACTGCTTGGGAGAGGAGATGTCATCCATCGTTGCGGGCTACCAGGGGATCAGAGGTGGTGCCGGAGAGGGTGGAGGCTACATGGGTGCAGGAGGTGGCAACTCCCGCTGCAGCGTGGGCGGGTGCATTGGGAGCTGCCCGAGGGGGGGACTCGAGGGGGACGATGGTTTGCATCATCCCCGTCAGAACCTAAACTTTGTGTGTCGGGCTGAGAAATGCCTTGGCGGAGTTGGAAGGTTGAGCGGTAGCCATTCCCATGGGTGATAACCCTGGGTTCGTGGACAGTCGCCAATAGCGCCCCAGGGTCACCAGGGAGCCGTTTGCCACCGGCTCAAGGGGAGGCGGGAGTTGTTCCTCGAGCTCGGGAGTCGAGTGGGTTGGGAGGCACTCATTGCCCAATTGTTCGGCCATGTTTCCCGGCTGGGAATGATCTTGTGACATCGAGGCCCTCCGTCTAACGCCAAAATGATAGTGATCCTTTACGCCATGGCAGAGGGAGTCAGCACGGCTTGGTTCAGTCTCGGGTGTGCAAGATCATCCACGTTGTGCTCGAGCAACGAGGATCGTCGTCTGGTAAGGTCAGGCTTGGGCTCTGGCTTCAAAGTCTAGAAACTCCCATTAGTTGGCCACTTGCCTCTCTATCACTGGTCCCTGCACACAGGTCAGAGTCGGGAAGAGGGCTCCCTATTTCGACCCCTTCGAAGATTTTATTAAAACTAGGTGGAAAATGAGCCAAAGATCGCCTGTTGCCGGCCCTACGATGGGTTTTTATCCCTTCGTCGGGGACCAGTCGTACTTGTCATATTTATGATTACTGACCCTCCGGGCGACGGACTTACTCTTGGGGCGGATCTTGGGCATCTTCGGCGTCACAACGTTGTGCAGTGATGTTGTACTCGATGCCATCCCAACCTTTACAGGACGACGCTGTACTTGGTCGGCACCGTCCTGATCTTTGCGGGATGGCGCTGTGCTTGGTTGGTGCTGACTCGATCTTTGCGGGACGACACTATACTAGGTCGACACCGTTCGACCTTTGCAGGATGACATAGTACTCGGTCGGTGTCGTCCCGATCTTTGTGGGGCGATACTGTATTCGATCGACGCCGTTCGACCTTTGCGGGACAGCATGGTACTTAATCGGCATCATCCGACCGGGATGGCACGATACTTGGTCGGCGTCATCCCGATCTTTGCGGAATGACACGGTACTCGATCGGCACCATCCCGATCTTTGTGGGACGACGCTGTACTTAGTCGGCACTATCCGACCTTTGCGGAATGGCGTTGACCGGGGGGTTCGGTCCGATTCGTTGACCTTGACGCTGATGTGGTTGTGCATAGTGATTGGAGGGTAGGTAACCAAAATATGCCCTATCAACCATCCTAACCTAAAATCTTAAAATTAATATACCCAAGCAAGCATAAGAGATCTGAATCAAACCTAACCTATAGGTTAGATTCCTCTACTTTCTGTGTTGTATACATGGAGCCTGAGTCATAGTTACATGGAGCCTGAGGCATAGTTACAGTTTGATATTTAATATAAGACAAATACTCTAGTGTGTGATCATAACTATTTCCGGGCTTTCATACTCATCAGAAGTGATTTTCAATAGCTACTCTCTCGTTCCCTCTAACAAGATGTTTGCTTCTCTTCGAGTGTCTCTTTGATGCTTTCTATATCATTAATTGAACTCGCGTCTAACTGTGCCATGGCTCTCTCATCATCAGCTCTCGCAATTTTGACCGTCTTTTTATGCATGCTTGTAGCTGCCCAAATGATCAACAGATTTCTTTCGCTTGCGCCGTCGTAAGAATATTGTAGATTCAATACATAGTTAAGACTGCACTGGAATTAAACTTGTTCTTTAATTTCTTGATATGGATGATTAGCTCTCATGATGACCCGATAAGGACTGCTGCAGACTGCAGTAGATGTAGAGAAGCTTCACTTCTCGTTTGAGAATACGGAGGCTCCTGAAACCAATGGGACCAGCTGATGTAGAGGGACGGAATGGATGGCCAAGCATTCACAGTGTCTTCTGTTTTCTTGTTGGAGTTTGCCTGTGGCTGGCAAACACAGGTACGAAGCTTAGGCATATATTTGAACTCAAGCAACAGGAAATTAAGTTAAATTTGCACTGTCTTCTTCGACCTTTACCGATAAAGTCTCTCTTCGGCAACTTCTTGTTGTTGATCTTTTTGTGTCATATCCTAAATTTAAAAAAAATAAAAATATTATTTATTATTAATAACTTATAGAAGAATTTTTTAATTTAAATTAATATCTTTATAATATTAAATACTTTTTCTTGTCACGAGTGATAAAAAAAAAATTTCCATTCAAACCTCATATCTATTATAAAATAGTATATTACTTAAAAAAATATAGAATAAAAACATATCAATAGCCATATATATTGATTGTAACTTCTGAAAATTCATGAAAATTTTTTTTAATATTCATGAGACATATATAAATATCAATTATCTAATATAACATGATAAAATATTAATTTATTATGAAACATATATATCAGTAAAATAATAATAATTTTATATAGTAAATAAAATTATGCATCAATCATATATAACACTTGCATATATGCGTACATAATAATAAGATAACAAATGTGTATATTATACTTGATGGTACACTCTCCCAATAATGGATGAAAAGATATTTTATAGGATGGATTCATTCCAACAATGAATGGAGAAAACTCCTATTGCACTCTCAATAGCAGATTAAGTGGTATTAATTACCCAACTAAGTAAGGACATGTTCCTCCTAATAATAGATACATAAATTATTTAACCGTCATGTTTAAGGGGTTATTAATCCTCGAAGGGAATCATCTTACTTGCCCTCGATAGAGATATATAGTCAACTATAATTATTCATTTATATTTATCCATTTATTCATACTTGCATCCAAGTAGTATGGTAAAATATTATGAAAAACTATGCTTAATATATGATCTACTAGACTAAGATAATTGGTGGCTTCATATTGTAATAACCCATAACTCCTTTTACATATTGTACTTCCAATGTCTACCACTCAACATAGCTATACTATATGGTAATAATTATATTAATATCATGAATTTAATTTAAAAAAACTAATACTTATTTTCAAATGATACCTTTAAATAAAATTCTTCAATTTATTAAATCATAAAGATATGAAGCATCAATCTCTCATCTTCAATCAATTAAAACTCAAATTGGAATAGCCTAATTAATCTAAACTAAACTCACTTAGGACCTAATAGAATCAACCTCAAATCATTATAAAACTATATTGCTCCCCACTTAATAAAAATTTGATCCCAAATTTGATATAAAAATGATATTAATTTAAGTATTCTATACAAAACATTTCATCTTTGTGCCTCGGAGTTTTCTGCTTTCTGCCACAACTTGCTGGAGTTTGCCCGCCGGCAAACACAAGTACGAAGCTTTCTGAATAATTAGAACTCGAGCAACAGGAAATTTAAGTTCAATTTTCACTATAGCTGCTGATATTCTCCGACCTTTTTCCAAATAGTCTCTCTTTCCCAACTTCTTGTTCATCTTTTGAGTGCATGAGTTTGACGTTTGATGAATGTGGTCAAGTGGGTCTGTATCATGTCGTACATGAGCTGTTCATGGGTGCCTCATTTTTCCAAGGTCCCTCCAAGATCTTACGAATAATTCATTATAGGAAGTCTTCTCTTGAGTCAAGAGTGAGAATGACAATTATCCCCCTTTTCTTTTTGTTCTTAATTTTTAATTATTATTGTTTCTCTTCCTTCTTTTTTTTTTTCTCCTCTATTGCTCGTCGGTACTAAGTATAGGCTAAAACATTTCATCCTGCAACTTTGCTTTAAACTGATACGGGGAGCATTTATAATTGTATGGAACACAGAAGTGATACATGGATCGACAAGTATCTCACTCGAGTTATGAATGCACAGAAACCTTGGTCATCTTACCTTGTTCACTTCAGTGCTTTGTGGCAGTGTGCTGCTTGGTGGCAGTGTCGTGCAAGCAGATTCCCTTGACCGGAGGCCATGCAGTCGTAGTAGCATTTGATGTGCCATTCGAGTTGCTAACCTTCCAAGCTTCAAGCACAGATCTCAGGTCTATGAGCTTAGCTTTCATGCTGGCACAACAGTTCGCATGAACCGTAATCACTTTCCTCAAGTCCTGACTCATTTGACAGAACCCACTAAAATAGGCAGTCTCCAGGTACCTCACTTTCAGCCCCAGCCGCGTGAACGCTCCCTCCTTCTTCATCTTCTGCAGCACATCTTGTTCTTTCATGCCTTTCAGGTTGTTCCTCCACGCATACCACTCGTCGAACAGTGCTACGGTCTTCTTGTTTGCTGTCACGAAATAGAAACCGGTGTTGAAGTTGGAGTTATTGAATGGTTTGCCGTAGTAGAAGTCACTGCTCATCTGAAGGTCCTCTCCATCACGAGACAACTGTGAGAACGGATTCCGTAGCCACATGACATCCATATCCTGATAGCAAAGACAACATAAGAAATGTCGCAGTAACATACAATCACTAGGATGGCTTACTATGACTTACGGTGAAGATGAAGCTGTATCCGCGCCGGAGGACATCTCCGAGGAAGAGAGTTCTTCTCCACATCATGTTGTTGAATGCATCAGACATGTAGAAGACCTCCTTGGAGAAGTCGACGCCCTCGGTTACGAGATTGTAACAGTGAAGCTCCAGGGTGCGGCATCTGTTGAAGGCCCTCTGGTCGACGGCGACGAAAAGAAGGTGGTCGATCAAGAATTCGGTGTCCTCCCCTTCTCGAAGACTTTGCAAGAACAGATCCAGCATCGCGTTCTGCTCCACGTACGCCTTGTTCAGTATCGCGATGATCAAAGTCCTGTTCTCCATGGCGACCCCCTCTAGTGCTGCTTCCAGTTCATCTTTTCGGGTAATCTCCGTCTGACCACACGCAAAATACAAGCTAGTTTCTGAGCTCTCTGTGCGTACTGTTCAGCATATACTGTGTGTGGATTAACTTACAGTATTTGCACCGTGTTGCAAGCGGAAGAAAGCTGTGGGTACTCCAAGCGGCCATAGGCAGGCATAGATGACGACCAAAACGAGAAGAGGGGCGACGACGATGGACGCGGTGGCACGGTAGGCGATGGCGCCGGAGAAGCTCATGGCAATGATTGAGGTGCAGGGGAGATCGGAGAACTCCACTCTGATCTGTAAAGATCAGCTGCTCAGACTCCTCCTACATCGACACGCGGCACATGGATAAGAAGCTGTAACCACCACCGAGTCCTTTCATTCAATTGTTTAGGTATAAGTTGGCGCCGGTGATCGAGAAAGGCTGTAGTTCAAAGGTGACGTGCCTCTTTTGGCTTCTTCTTTCCATCGAGATCTGAGGCATTTGACGATCCAAAATTGGGGGCGGACAGATCGACGAAGGCTTAAGAACTATTGGTATCACATAAGCATCTCCGGTGTTTACTTTTGTGGAAGACAGGAGGAAGTCGGGTTGGGAGTTGGTGGATTTTTTTAGTGCCTTGATCGTTACCATTTCTACTGCTTTGCATGTGCAAAAGCAATAATTATGTGTGTGTATATACATGTATTTATACATAAATACTTATATATATACATATATTTATACATATATATGTACATGTATATATATATATATGTATATATACATACATATATATATATATATATATATATTATTTTTTTATAAATTTTTATTATAAATTTTTAATATGTTTGATGAGAGATTTTAAAGAGTTATGACTTATAATTTTATTATTATTTTCGTTATATCGATTCAACTCTTGAAATTTCAGCTCTCTTTTATACCGATTCAAGTCTTTGAAATATTTGCTCTCTTTCATATTTGGTCCAAGTTGGGTTTCTTTTTCTATCACATTCAAAATGACTCGTCCTTTTCTCTTGTAACCTCTTGCCGATCGTAAAAGTCTATTATGGATCACCTTCGAGTAAGGATAAGTAAAAGACTCCAAAGTTCTCCCCATGTTTCCTTTTCTTGCTCTTTGGACAAATCTTTTTTTTTTCTTTCTTCATTTTTGTTTTTTTGTTAGTTTTCATTTTACTTTCTGTTACATATTTAGCTTTTACAGTTCTAGTACTGGACCAAGTAGATCGAAGAGTAACGAGTGAAACATTGAAGATAAGATTCAAACCCAAATCTTATGATTAACTATTAATTTCTTTATCCATTAAATTAGCTAGTACCTTCAAATACGATAACAATATTATATGTGAAAATCATGTGAAAATCTAAAGCTTAATGCAATGATGATGTACAACCATAAGACTATTCCCTTCGAGTCTCCAAATCAATAACATAAATAAGATTATATGTATTTACCATCCTAATCTAAAATCTAAAAATTAATGTACACAATCTATAAGCATAAGATTTGAATCAAACCTAACCTATAGGTTAGATTCCTCTACTTCCTGTGTTGTATATGTGGAGCTTGAGTCATAGTTATAGCTTGATATTTAACATAAAACAAACATCATAGTATGCGATCATAACTACTACTAGGCTTTCATACACAACCGGAGTGACTTTCAATAGCTAATCTTTCACTCTAACTAGATGTCTACTTCTTTTCAGACATCTACTTCTATTTCATTATATGCAAAACATACTTATACAACTATAATGCACCAATTAACATGACTTATTCAATTCAAATATTTTAGTGATTGATAAGCTAATTTGAAAACTTTATATAGCAATAGGGTAAACTACAAAGCTTAGCAAGTCACTAACATATCTATGACGAGAGAGAGTAGTTCATACGGACTTAATATTAAGGTGCAAAACAGAGATACAAGAATTCATCAATATTATTTCATTAGATACAAGAATTCACAAATGTCATTGCATCAGAATCATACTTTGTTCATAATAGTGGAGTAAAGAGTATTTGAAGCATATCAATACGTAAAAAATATTTCGAAGCATATTAATGATGTAAAAAATATTTAAGAGTATATCAATAACGTATGAAACATTTAGGTACATGACGCATGAAATATTTAGGCGTATATCAACAACTTTCTTTCACTTGCACCATCGTAAGAATATTGTAGATCCAATACACAATTAAAACTTGATAGTAAAGCTTCCTTATACAAATGATAGCAAAAAAACTATTCTTTTTTTTTTTTTTGATAAAAATTCAGATCCTATTTAATTCAAATAGAGAAAATTAGCTGTCATAATTGGTAATTTCACTATTAGGACCAATATGATGGGATATTAAGTAGAATAACTTTTGTATATGAACAAATATTAGCAGGCCATAATATGTAATGAAATTAAATGAAATCACAATCAAATAGAACACCAAGATATACGTGGAAAATCTCTCCAATATGAAGGGTAAAAACCATGGGGCAAACTAGAGATAATTCACTATGAGAATAATGAATATATAAATCTCAATCTCTTGCCCTAAAACCTAACAACAATTACAAGAGAACAATTGAGATACAAGGATAATGTCACTGTCCATAATATCTAAAACCTCCCCAAATAATCACAACAAGAGTCTACTGTAGATTTGATCTAACCTGATATGAGAACACTACTAGATGATTGAGAACAATCTCTCTGTGTTGTCCATGTTTTCTTCCATTTCTTTTTCTTATTTTTTTGTCTTTGTCTTCTCCTCTTTTCTGCTGCAAAGATCTCCTTGTTGCTGCCCTTTTATAACCTTTTTCTGCCTATTAAACGTAGCTACCCACACCCCTAATGTTAATTAGGATTAGGTTAAGAGGGGGTGAGATGTGGGTTGATAAAGCCCACATTGGGCTGAATATAGGCTGTCAGCCCAACAACCTCCCCCTTCAGCCTATAAGGGAGTCTGTCCCATGACTCCTCAATGTGAAGCCATACCGACCAACTGTCGGCATATCTCTTGTCTTTCTTTTGGTAAGGTCTTTGTCAACATATCTGCTCCATTGTCATCTGTGTGAATTTTCTGAAGCTACAACTGCTTCTCTTTCTGCTCACTTACATCAGTAAGCATTGCATACTCATCTATAGAATATCTTCTGGAAGGTTGACGTTATCTAGAAGATCTTCTCAACTGAGGTTCTACGAGAAATTGCTCTCCAACTTCTTCTTGCTCAACATGTCCTACAGGTATATCAACATCAGGCTCTACACTATCTTCCTACACATCTCCCCCATCACCCTGATATACTAGAGGAGTAATTGGGTCACAATCTACTAATCCTTCTACATAAGTATTGGTTGGTGCCTTCTTCTTCAGATCTTCAAAAGTTTGATCCTCAAAGAAGACTACGTCTCTGCTTCTAAACACCTTCTGCTTTTCTGGATCCCAAAGCCTGTAACCAAAATGATCATGTGAGTAGCTAAGAAAAATATATTCTTTAATCTTACCATCCAGCTTGGACCTCTCATTGTCTAGAATATATGCAAATGCACGACAACCAAACACTCTCAAATGCTTGTAGGAAACATCTTTCCCTGACCATACATGCTCTGCAACATCACCATCTAGGGCTGTACATAGTGATAAGTTGATCACATCAACTGCAGTCCTCAAAGCCTCATCCCAAAACCTTTTGGGTAGTTCGGCCGGTAAAACCATACATCTGATTTTTTTCCAGGAACTGTCATCTTATGTTGGATCCCATATGACCTATAATAATCATTAAATAATCTTGTATACTCACCACCATTAGATGATCTTATACATTTCAATTGTCTTTCTGTCTCTCTTTCAACCTTGGCATGAAACTCTTTGAAGACATTATTAACCTGATCTTTGGTCTTCAAAGCATAGGCCCAAACTTTCCTGAAAAAATCATCTATAAAAGTGACAAAATAAAGTGCACCACTTATACCAAGAACATTAACAGATCCACCAGGAGTTTTTATCCTCAAAGGACCACATACATCTATATAAACACGGTCTAAGGCATCCATTTTTCTAGACAAAGCAGGACTAGCAAATGAAACTCTCTGTTGTTTACCAGCCAAACAATCAATACAAGGGTTCAGATATATACCTCTAAGGTCTGGTAATACCTCTCTCTTGGAAAGAGCTTGCAGTCCCTTCTCGCTCATGTGTCCCAATCGCCTATGCCACAACTCCATGCTGAAGTCTTTTTCTGTAGCATTTAACTGCTCACCATAAACTTTAGCTTGCAACCTATACAAAGTATAACATTTCTTTCCACTAGCTATAACAAGAGAACCCTTACTGAGCTTCCATTGCCCTATGTGAAATCTGCTATTATAGTCTTCATCATCTAGCCTTCCAACTGAAATTAAATTTAGCCTTAAGTCAACCACATGCCTCATATCCTTAAGCACCAACTTGTGGCCAAGGTTGGTCTTTAAATGGATATCACCCATGCCTATGATGTTTGCTGTGCCATAGTTGTCCATTTTGATAACACCAAAATTTTCAGATTTGTATGCAGTAAAAAACTCCCTCCGTGGTGTAGCATGATAAGAAGCACCTGTGTCAATCACCCACTCAAGATCCTGACACTCACAAGAAAAAATATCATTAGAAGGAGATAAAATCAAATAATCACCACCCTGCACTATAGCTGTGATATTATCTTTTGACTCTATAGACTCCACTTCTTTTCCTTTTTTCTTGCTCTTCTTATGTTGCTTACATTGGTTCTTGTAATGTCCTTTCTCACCATAATTATAATAAATAATATCTTTTCTTGATCTTGACTTGCACCTACTCATGGGTGAACTGCTTCTAGACTTTGACCTTCCTCTGTTCTCTGAGATAAGTGCTTGTGAATTATTCTGAGATGTTACCGAACTCTTTTTTCTCAACTCCTCATTCAACAAACTGCTTGTTACTTGACTCATAGTGACAACACCATCTGACGCAGAATTACTGAGGGAAACTACTAGTGTCTCCCAACTTTCTGGTAATAAACTGAGAAGTAACAATGCCTGTAACTCATCATCAAGAGACATTTTTATAGAGGATAACTAGTTAGTAATACTTTACATTTTATTCAAACGCTCAGCAATAGAAGCACCCTCTCTATATTTTAGGTTCACAAGTTTTCTGATCAAAAAAGTTTTGTTGCCAATTGTTTTTCTTTCATAGAGACTTTCCAACTTTTTCCAAAGAGAATATACAGAAATTTCAGTAGAAACATGGTGAAAGACACTATCATCAAGCCATTGTCGAATAAACCCAATTATTTTTCGATCTAACCTCTTCCACTCATCATCTGTCATAGTTGTGGGTTTTGAACTATCCTCCTGCAAAGGTCTATACAAATCTTTGCAATACAAGAGATCTTCCATTCTTGATTTCTATATCATCCAATTGTTTCCATTTAAACTAATCATGCGAG